TCTTTCAGACGTACCTACAGCAGATAAACTGGAGAAATTCGTGGAAGATGTCAAATATGGTGTGTATCCATTAACCGCGTTAGGTGGCAAGAAACCACCACATTTTCGTTCACGTGCTGCATCACCAGAACGTGCCGACTCCGTCAAATCTGCTACGCCTGAGCCGGTGGACATAGAGTCGCGACGCATAGTAAATATGATGTGTAGTGTAAAAAAGTTGAAAGAGGATAGTAGTGATATCGCAATGACGATATTGCTTCGCATGGACGACAAGATGAACAGACAGTTGACGTGTCAGGTAACGGAAGCCGATTCAGCCTCCGATCTGACCAGTGAATTGGTGCGACTTGGTTTTGTGCATATCGACGATCAAGATAAAATTCAAACACTCTTAGAGGAAACTCTACGAGGCAGTTTTGCTGTTAATGCCGGCGGTGTCTGTCCGTTCGAGCAAGGCGCACAAGCGCTTACCTTTAGTGCCACTATAAACGAGCACATGCCGGGAGGTGTGGGCGTTACAATTGGTGCAAGTGGTGCTAACACCGCTACCAACGTGGGTGCAATTGGTGCGGGTGCCGGTGGCGGCATCAACAATGGTGATGGAAATGTGAATGCGCACTTAAATGTTGGCATCAAACCAGCAACAACCGCAACTTTGGCGGCGCTCAATCAGATGGAGCGTAATTGGTCCGTGGCCGACATGGATCCTAATGCTGCTTTGGCGAATGCAAGTATGCAAGCAGCCAGTATGGGTGCAGAAATTGCTGCCACCATGTATCATATGCAACAGCAACAACAGCTGCAGGAGCAACAGCATCATGTACAAATATTGCCACCGCAGATGCATTTGCAAATAGAAATACCCGTTCAACAACAGCAGCAGCAGATACAACAACAACAACAACACCAGGTGCTAAATACATCGACGCCACCAGCTGGCGCACTGCCACCATCATATACAGGGCACACACAACAATTTAGGCAAGAGTCTTTAGGGCAGCAAAATGATGGAACAACAACAAATGTCACTGTGAATAGCATAAATGCACCACAGCAAACACACTATGCACACGCCCAGCAGCAAATTATTCACTCTTCCAATCCAACAGAAATTACAACTATTACCGCTGCCGCGCCACCATCAACTTTAACCGCCACAAACGCCTCGACCTCCTCAGCCTCCACCACTATAAATTAATAAATAGTATTTCTTGATAATAAACATTTATATACGCTATATTGATATTCATAAAACTGAAGTGTAGTAGAACATAGAATTATGCAAGAAAGATAGCGCGAAAATTTATATTTTTAAATTGCAAGTCAGAGCACGGATGCCACGCAGTAGTGGTGTATACTGAGTCGCGTCTTTTAGTCAGTCAGACAATTGTTTTTTTTTTTTTTTTATTATTATTATTATTCATTATATGTATAATGATTATGGATATTTTTATATAGTCTACTAAAGGAAAACAAGTTTTTAATTATATTTCGAAAATGATAGAATAAAAACTCAAAAAAAAAAAATACTAATTTTAAACAATGCTAAAACTATAAGCAAAAAGCAAAGACAAACGAATTAATATGAAGATTGTGCAAAAAAACAAAATTATTGTAATAGAATTTAGTTATAAATTGTGTAAGGCTTCCAGCTGGGAAAACGCATGCGCAGCGGCCATTTAAGTAAATATTTCGGCACTGGTGGCCTAAAACACTGTATTTCATGCCTTGCCGCAGCAACAGAGCGCAAAGAAGAACAGCAATAGCAAATAATATACACAACCATCGGTCCGGTGAGCAACAAAAAAAAAAAAAGAAAAAAAAAACAAATATATACGACGCTAACATCGGTGGGAAAAGTTTCGCGTGATTCTACTGTTATGCTATTTCCAACCGCATTGTCAATGCATATATTATATGCTTATATTTCTGTAGTATGTAATTGTTTGTTTGTGTTGACCGCGGCAAGATGGTTCTGAAACTATATATGTTCCAACTGATCAATGTTGTTTATCAATATGGGACGCATATAGCCGATAGCTTAATACAAATATATATTTATGTATTTAAAATTATAAATACACTGCAAAAAAAAAACAAAAAAAACAACATTTGAACGTTAAATAGCGGATCACAAGTTTTAGTTTTAAAGAGTAATTTAGCAAGCTTAGACATGCCTCCAACTGCAAAAAAAAAACAAAAAAAAAATAAATAAATAAAGCAAAAGCAACAATAATGTATACTACCTAAATAAATAAATACATAAAAATATAAAGCAAATTTGCATACAATGACACCACATCAACACATCCATACATCTTTTATGTTGACATAAATACAATATAAAAAGAAAACAACACTCGACATAGAACACGATGACAATGAGCATTAAAATGCTGTGCAAGCGTAATAAAATACATAAATCAATAATAATCATAATGAAATGCTTCATCCATAATGCAACATAATGAAAAATAACAAGCAAGCAAATAAACAAATGCAATTTTCATTTAATGAAAATCTATGCATAAGAAAAGAACATACCTGTTATTTTTTGTATGGTAATAGTGAACTTTGGAAGTTAGTGCGAAGTTTTCTGCATTAGTAGTATGCATCCAAATACTTCACTTTTTGTTTTACTTTTAATGTTGTTAATAAAAATCAACTCATTGCACAATTTTTCACATCGCTACAGTTTTTTATCTGAAATTTGTACATTTATCTGAATTTGCTGCAGCATATAAAGAAAAAAGACGCAACTCAAATATTTAAACGCGTAATGACTTTTTGAGTACTTTCAATTTATTTTTGGTGTTTAAAAATTTGTTTGTGAAGTTTTTAATAGCATACTATCTTAGCACTGTTGACAATAATAGCACAAATACGAGTACTATGCGGAAGCTAAAATGTGTGTCGTGGGCAAATAGATTTCTTTTATTTTGGACATAATTGAAGGTAAACAAACGCTTTATTTTTTGTTGTTTAAGCTCGAGGATTCATCTTATTCTGCAGCAACCACTATAACTTTTGGTGGCTGATCCGATTCTATTGTTTCTTTTAACTTCTTTTTGGGCGGTTCCTCTACTTCGTCTTGTGAATTGTTTAGATTCACTTTTTGTGCTTGTGGTGATTCAATAGAATTAGACTTTCGGCTTTTATCATGTGACTTTTCATCTAGTTGCTTACCGTCAGTCACTGCCTTCCCACGTTTTTGTACAGCTCCTTTCGCCTCATATTCATCCAGCAGTTTAATTCCTTCGAACAAAACAAATGGCAAAGTGACACGTTGGTAATAGTCTGACATTAACTCTATATTACTAATGACCGTATCCAACATATGCGATTTTTCACACCATATTCCTGGCGCATCACCACGCACTGGATTTATGTGTAAATGCAGGTGATAGAAAGATGGTTGATAATGAAAATACATTCGCAATTGTGAAGCAGATAAACCGTAACGTTCTTCTATAGCGACCGCAATTCCATCACGTAAGTTGTGTAAAAGTGGTAAATGAGTATGATTAAGATCCCGTAAAGATTTAATATCATGCTTGTGTACAATGGCAAGCAGATACAGTGTCTCCAAAGTTTTGCCATCCCATTTTAAATCGGGTAAGAGTACGAAACCCTTTTCCGGATCAAAATCTTCATAAACTATACGATCGGTTTCTTGACGATGTTCTAGTATATTATATACCCACTAGAAAGATAAAAATATTATCAAATATACCACAAGGTTTCCCTTGATAAGTAAAATAATCTTACGTCGAGACTGAAATGACTGCCTGTTATATAAGGCAAAGTCAGTTCTTCATATAAAGTTGGAGTTTCTTTAATTAGATATTTTTGTGTTATTGAATACTTTTCAATATGCTTTTCAGTGGCAGGATAAACCACGGTCGTTTTAATATCTGTAATCAAAAGCAAAACCAATATAGTGTGTAAAATATTTACAAGCAAATATTGTAGAAAGCTGTTAATATTTACTATTTAATTCTGAACTGGGTACGCATTGGAAACTGCCATAAATATTATTAATGAATTCCGTGTCCACTTGTAGAGAATCACTGAATATGCGGGGAGCAGGTTCTGAGATATTATCAAGTTCAGTTTGAACATCGCTATCTTTGAAAGCTTGTTTCTCAAGTAGCAGAACAGCTACGTCATCCTCAGACACATCAGGAAATGTACCCAGCAACTAAATATAAGGCAATTAATTACTCTTTGTAATACAGTTATATGTTTTATTTAATACTTTACCGCTATTGTTTTTCGGAGAGTATTATTTTGTAAAATCCGCGCCAACTTGAATTTTGCTAAATTATAACTTGGCGCCGTCACTTCTACTTTTGTTGGTTTCTCCAGAAGTTCGTCGACAGCAACGTCAGTTTTTACCTCAGTTATTTCTTCAATAACTTTCAATGGACATTCCCCGTCATCTGTAACTTTATTATTAACCTCTGTATTTGCAGGCATTTTTAATTAATTATTTTATTTTTAATTAATGGAAACAATAAACAAAAATATCAAAATCCGCCGACTATGCTTCTTCTCTCAAAAGTATAAATTCACAATTAGGCAAATTGCAGAGTTGCATTCATCATCTTTCATCATTTAAATTATATTTACATTTTAATTCCTTAATTGTCTTCCATTTTAATACCAATCTGATTTACCAATCTTGATCCTCTAATTATCAGAATTCATCTTCTTCCAATTTGTTTTGCCCATTGTAATCTCTGTAAATTTCATTGCTCCAAGGTGCAATCAAATATGGCAAGGCTGATTTCCCAATAAAAATAAAATGAATATCCATTTGATTTCCGGGAGACTTAACTTTGTAGGATATTTTGGATATTTCCTTACATTTTCATTATGTGATAAAATTACGGTTAGAGACTTTCCCCTACACCAAACTCACTTTTCTTACAATTTACCGATAATCTATTATCACATCAGCAAAATCCGCTGACATTATAACAATAAACTCAGAATGATTTGTATGTATATATGTATATGTATATAATTTTATCCACTTTGTAATAGTATCAATGTTATATAATAATAGCTAATAATTAACCGAACTGTTGCAGGCGAATCACGAGTGAGTTAATGCGTGCACTTATTCATATTCAATGCATTTAACTATTGTATAATTTTTTCATTTGTATGTAGCAATTTCTAGCCACAGGTTTTCTATTAATAATGTCCTTTTACGATCTATGTAATAACACAGAAGCAAAGTTAAATAAACAGTATGTTTTTTTTTATATTTAAGTGCATTTCGTTATGCGAAACGAACAGTCTTAACAGCTAGTGTAACGTTGCTGAAGCAACACATCTGGTATCTGGCGGAAAACAGATCTAAACAACAATTCCCGTGGAGGGTTTTGCGCCCAAAATGTCCGATAATCTTTGCTGATACGACGCCAACGCGTTGGCTTCGGTAATGCCCCTCGCTTTACAAGACAACTGTAATGCATTCAGATATTGCATTTCAGTAAACTGAGAGCCTTTCTCAACAATATTGGTAAGTATATCCTGTGAGGAGGAGAAAGTTCGTAGATAAATAAAACATAATTTTTATAGACAGTATATAAAAGCTTACATCTGGTTCCATGCACAGTAATTCGTAAAAGTTCTTTGCTTGATCCAGCGCTATCTCGCGCGAAGCTGTTATATTGCTTAGCGTTTGTTGCAATGCTATCGAATTACGACACATGCGTTGCACTGTCGCTTGATCGATGTGTTCCAGATAGTTTGAAGCTTGTATGAGTATGCGAGCGGCCAAATGCGCCAAACCCTCAAAAATATACTAAGATATACAAAGGAAAGCAGTTATTAAAATTTTTAAAACCAAAAGTTGTATGTCTAAACTACATACCCTTGTTTTACGCGGATGCAGTGTTGCGCTAAATGCTTCATCCATTTCTGATAAACGTTTAGTTAGCATTTGCACTTGTCGATCAGGTTCAAGTATGTCATCGTCTTTAGCTCCCATGAAACTGCTCGATTTAGTAGCGGGTTTCGAGCGCAAATAGTGGAAGCATTGCACGCGCACCTTTAACAAGAAAAAAATATTAATTTTTGTTTTTCTGTTCCTATAATTATATTTGAAAATTATTTATATTTGAAAGTATTATTATTTTCAACAAACCTCCAAGTGTAGCACCAGCAAACAAGTATTGGCCAGTTCATCGAACTCGAGTGCCAAATTGGTCAACACTTTGATAGTGCCGTCTTTGATTGCGGCCGAATGTGTAGCTGTGCACTCTGACGTTATGACATTAAGGCCATTCACTAAAGGTTTACGGAGCTCATTGGCAAACTCCGACACACGACCAGAGAACCATTCTATGCTCTCTTGCAGCACAGCTAATTCTTTCAACACACCTATGTCTGCTAAAATTTCCTGTTGTGTAATACCACCTTCACCCAAATTGCTGGTTAACATTTCAGCTTCGCGTACATTGCGTTGTTGCACTTGCAGTGGACTTTCCTCCTCCGACGGTTCGAAAGAGTTGCGTTGCAGCTTTTTGCCATGTTTTACACGCTGACTGGACGATTTTAGATCGGTCCAATTGGGTAGTGTTCTGTAAACCAAATTTTAGTTATTACAAAATGTGTTGCAAGTTAAACAAGTTTTATGTGAACTAACTTTAAAAACCGACTAATATCTTCATCCTTCAACCAAGCTACACTATATATGCGTTTATCTTCCGAATCGGGTTGGACGACACCGCGATAAGCCGCCTGTGCTATCTCACGGTATGTTTTCAATAACGCGCATACCATTTTTAATAGCTCATCTGAATAGCATGGCAACTCATGTATTAGTGTTTTGGTCTCTTGCAGACGACGCTCCACCATGGCTGTGGATTGTAGTAGTGGACGGGACAAACCCATTGCTTTGATCTCTTCAGGCGATATAATCGTACGCCATGCATCCTGATTTTTCGATAGCGATTCGATGGTTAATTGTAGATTGCGATTGTGGCCCTTCGATAGGAATGTATCCTTAATATAATTGTCGATGAAATCATGTAAGCTGCAGGGTTGCCTAGTAAAACAATAAGAAGGACAAATTTAAGGGCAATTAAAAATAATTTTGTTAGTAAGCTTACCCCGGCTTGCACTTCATAAAGCCCTCAATATCTTGTATGTAGTTCATAAGTGGCAAATAGACTTTAGTTATCACATTCTGGTCGGCTTTGCAGATTAACACCTTGTCTCGTTGTTGTTTGGCATGCGCGAAATTACCACTGCCATTTACACTACCGCTGCCACCGCCACCGAGTGCAGCTGTTGTTAAATTATCATCTGTAGACACGTCAGAAGCATTGCGTCGATGCTCTTTAACTGTGCCGCCTGCAGTAACTTGCGGTGGATAATGCGATGACTTATCGAATTTGAAGAGTGCTTTTTTGGTGCTATAAAAATAATGGAGTAAAAAAAATAATTGTTTGTAATTTCATTAGCAGTATTATGATTAGTGTATCCTTAGGTGGCTTCTGGGATTATTTACTACAAGTAGCGATATTAGGATTTACATAGTGAAAAAAACGTATAATACTAACCAACGGACAGTGTGGTGAAATCGGTGTCTTGAAATATGGTAAAGTTTTAGATACAATATATTTTGTCAATAACTTATATTATTTCTCATATATATTGTTTTGCACAATAAAACAGAAAAAAACAGAAAAAAACATAAAACTTGACTCTATCAAAAACATTTAGTAAGTTACTTGCTTTTTTTTAATGGAAATTTTTTTTATCATAAAAATTTAAATTTTCTTAACAAAAAAAAAAGAGTAGAAATGAAAAAATAGAAAACAGCATTGTTAGCTTTTTCTTATTACCTTGGAACTTTGCGCCGCAAAAAATACGAATTTATATTGTTGGATGGCTCCGCGAATGCCGACTGTGCTGCATCATCGCCCGAAGCATTTTGTATATCCAAATAATCGGTTAAAAGTAATTGTAGCTGAACAGATTTTAATTAAACTTTAGTGTTATATTAAACCACATTGACATTAAAGTATGTATTCCAAAAGACTTACCACAGACTGTGCTTGTGCCCAAAAATCGGTTAAATCGTATGGTTGTGGTCCCACGACGGCATACTTTTGTACAACAACCAAATAATTTTTTAATAGTAGTGCATGAGTTTTTGCAATAGCTTTGAATTGTTTAAAGATAACTTCCAGCAATGTTAATAAGGGATTATCGCGCTCATTGGCATTACAGTTGAGCGCAATTAATTGATACGTTGTCTGTCGTACTACCTCTAATAGTTGAGTTTGTATTTGGACGCGTAATACTTCCAGTGATTCAGGCACTTTGCCTAGCATGCCGAAACATTCGACAATAATTGAAATAAAGTAAGTCATACTCAGCTCTGGATCAACTAAATCTGCATCATCAATTACTTCAGACTTATCAAGATCAAAGCCTTGCGCCATTTCCACGAGAGCTTTGCGTATGCGCGTATTCGCTTCGATGCGATCTGTGGAGCGTCGCGCTCCAATGCCACGTGTAAAACTTGAATTCAGGCGATTGGAATTATTACGTTGAAAAGTGGTGAATGCCTCCGCGGCGGAATTTTTATACAATTGTGTAACAAGTTCTTCGTGTAATCGTTGATAGAGTTGTTGACGACGTGATTGTAAATCGACACGTAAGTCGGCTAATCCTTCAACGCCTTTAAGTGGTCCTTGTATCGTTGCGAGTGCATCGGTAAGCGCCTTACTCGCATGTAAATATTGCCGTTTTGTCGTATAACTGACAACACGTTGAGGCACTTTACGCAATTCGTTGCTGTAAAACGAGGAATATATTAATTTAAAAATTATTCATTTGATGCTTATAATCCATACATTTGTTCCAACATTTCCAGCACATATTTATGCTGCACCGCATCTGTCCACATCTTTTTTAACTCATCACGTCGGCATTGCAGCAATCGTTTACAAGCACCTAGATTCTCCTTTACACCATGAATGCGTTCACGACTCGCTGTTATTTCTGTGGACACTTGGCTGAAAAGCGGCAGAACTTGTGTCAACTGCTGATCATGACGCGATACCAATTCATTTAAGCGTTGATCGGACCGTTTGAACTCCTTCTCAATCTTAAGTTTCTCCTGTTGTCGCTCCTCTGTTGTCTCACTAAATCCCAAAGATTTAATGACATTGACAAGAAAACCACAGCCGGACTATGCACACAAGAAAAAGTAAACATTCTTTAGCAAACGACAAGAAAATTCAAACATAAACGAAAACGCCCTATATTTTGTTAAAAACAACCCGACAAAGCATAAAAAATTAGATTTTGACAGGTCTGACGATGACAACACCGAGCTACCCCCTCCCAATACACAATAATTTACAACTTTCACAGCACTTTTTTACAAAGTTAACGTAATCACAGATGACAAATTCATCTTTCAAACAAATTATACTTATTTACAGTTAAATTTTTCAAAATTTCTTGTACGTTTTAATCATAATTACCTCATCTTTTCCATATTTAACTCCGCGCGGAGGTTTTGTTGGTGGTAACTCGTTCATTTTTCATTTCCCTACTGCTGTCATTTGGTTCTCTACAGTTGTTGTCAATTTTTCTGCTACGGCTTAATGTGAATAGAGATGCCACTATGTTTCCAAAATTTCAAAGAAAATTCTAAAAGTCACATTACAATGAGCTGGTAATAATTCGATATCTTATATAATAGTTATATTGTCCAGTCACTTCAGCATAATACACATGTTGACAGCAAAATAAGTCTCTTTACAAATTCGATCCAATCTTATAGATAGTGTATAATTTCGGTACTCCATCAATCTCTTAATGCAGTTGACTGTCTTCTTTAAGACCCGTTCATCTACAACTTTCATTGTTTTACGTGACATAACGAGGCGAAGACAACAAGGGGTATGCCACACTGAACCCTTTGCTTTCAGGATTTATGTCTAAGATTAATGGCGTCTGTTGCTTGTCAAAGCATAAAAAGATGAGAGTTATACTGGGCAACTCTGCTTGACTTCGCGTAGAAAACCTTTTATGTGACCGTACTCATAGCAAAGTGTTCATCGAACTTTTCTGTCAAAACAAATGTCTGACGCAAAGCGAAGCAAAAGTTCTATGTGAACAGGCCATTACTGGTGATCCATTTTAACCAATAGGCCAACTATTTCAAATTGTTCGTCCACTTACCTATATCGGACCTTGGAAAGAGACAAAATGATAACCTAAAAACTTATGTTCAAATGATGTAGCAGTTCAAACTCCTGCCTTTCTAGATTTTATATGAACATATTGCAAATACGATACCAGCCTCATAAATACTTAGCAAATGTGTACGACGACTTTTGTCAATTTAAGCCCGATTGGACCCGTTGTTTTGGATTGGCCATTTCGGGAAAAGGCTGTATATAAAATATACATATGTTTATTCGCTGATTCGATTCACATTTTTGGAAGGGAAAACGCGCAGTGAAATCAAAGAGTGAGGCATTTCACAGCAGAATTTGAGTTTGACTGTAATCTGAATCCGAATCACATTCCAAAGAAGCTGAAGCCTGTCCTATCATATGCAAAAGTTGTTATTAGCACTGATGTCCAAATGATTATTAAATTAAAATTATCTTGAGGTAAATAAAAAGACATTTTTAAAGTTCCTTATAAACTTTTTTTAAACAATTTAATTTCACATATCGCTAAACACCTTATCGTTACATAATTTGATATAGAATTCTCCTTTTAATGCAATTCTAGTTAAAGTTTGGCTTAGTTTTTGTAGTTAAATACAATACATTTTTTGATTATTATATTTTCATGTTAAATATTCATTTGTGTGATTTTATTGGCTTTGTGGCATTGCGTTCAGTGTAGATTATATAAGCATAATTTGAATATAAACGCTAATACATTTCTTCTAAATATGCACATACAAGCAGCACATACCTTGATATAACATGCCTACATATTATATGTACATATGTATTTTTGCAAATAAAATAAAATTTTATGTGAAATAATAATTCGCTGCTTTGACGAAATACTTGTAATTGTATTAAAAAAATATTTTTCTAATTGCAATTGAATATTTGTTTCAATCCATGTGGAAATGAAGTTATGTTGTGTTAATTGGGAGCTTGTAATTTTTAACTGAGCTTGCTTCTAAATTTTCTTTTTTTCATTGTATTGAAAATTGCAAGGCTAGAGTTCAAATTTAACTTCCATACGCATTTTCTAATGAATGTAATTATAGCATATATACTTCAATTTATTATGGTGGCGGCGTGTTTGACTACATTTTTTTATAACATCATAAGCATATAACGAATTTTATTTAAGAACAAGCTGTTGCTACATTTACAAGTTAATGATTTTTAATAATCTCTTCGTCGTCTTTTTACAAATCTACGGATAATATTTTCTTTGTTTATAACATTTTTCTTAAGAATATTTGGAAATGTGATTAAAATGGCGTTCAAAAACGTTTGAATATGTTTGTTTACAAATTTAAAAATTTTGTAGAAATAAGCGAAATTCGATAAGAGTTTTCGGTGTACTTTGTTAGTTAATTGAAAGGTACTGTTTTCGTTAACGTTCGGAGGTATTATGTGTAGTTGACAGTTTCCAAATCTTCCATGAGCTGTTCTTACTATACTGGATTTTTGTTTTTTTTTTTTTGAAAAATGTTTTTGGGAGATATGCGTGGTCACTTTTTCGTTGTAGGTGGGTTTAATTTTTAATTTTAATGTGCAAAAAGTAAACATTATTATTTTAATTTATTTATGAAAATGTCATTTAGATGCTGCTGACTTTAAAATATTATGCGTAATTTTAGTGAAAATATGTATATACGTAAGTATCATGCAATAAAGATTAAGTGCGTAATACGCTTCAAATAATTTAACCGTTTTCAGGTTTTTGAAGTGATTTTATTATTTTACTTAGCTGTGTATACATGTTTGTAAGTGCTGTATATATGGTAGTGCTGTATATATATCAATATATAGCCATGTAAATATGTTTACTACATTGTGAAATTCAAACGATACTAGTTTCTGATTTAGTATTTAAACGTTGGCATTTTTTTTTTAATTTCATATATATATACATACATATGTATATATTTGGTAATTTAAACTAAGAGCTTTAAATCTTTCTATTATGCGATAAATTAGTGAAGCATCAAATAATTTCTAATTAATTATATTTGTTTTTTGGCTTAATAGTAACATAATGATTTTTGGGCGCATTGTATGTAATATTTTTGTCCCACACATTTCAAGCTTAACAATATTTTGAACTATAACTAGCATACCCATATATTTTATGCAAAAAAATGTGTATATGGGTATGCCTGCACATATAATAATTTCATGCATTTCAATATTTCTTTGTCTCAAACGCGCCGTTTACTTCTTCGGTGATTCGTTGTTGATAATACTCAATCGGCGTATATTTGGCTTGTCGTAATCTTCCATGGAGACACCACGTGATAGTTTGCGTGAACCATTCTGTCCGTCCACCGAACCACCGGAACTTGTCGAGTAAGCACGTCCGCGATCAACGCCCGGCATAACGACAGAGGTTAAAATGCCTTGACCTTTGCAGAAGAGCAAAATAGACTGAGCTACTTTGGCCGGCTTGAAATGGCAGAGTAGAAATATCGATATTTATTCATTAATGGGAGAAAAATAATGAAGTTATAAAAATTAGTTTAAAGTAAAATTTACATATTTGGCTTCAAATGAGCCTATTTTATAGGTGATTATAAAATATGTGAACATTTTTTTTGTTTGGCAGTCCGTGTCAAATTTTATCAGTTATTATATGTGAAAAACTTCTATAAATAATGTGGAGCGATATATTAAAAAAAAATTATAAATATATTTTTTTGTTCGAAATATCCGTTTTTCGTCCACTATTCGTCTTCTTCACTAAGCAAAAATATGAGCTGCTGTGTCAAATACATTTAGTAAACAACAACCTAGGGACCTTTGAGTACTTTCTTCATATTATAACCAGTTGCAGTTGTTTTAATACTCACCGCATCAGCCAAAACATCACCAGCACGTTCTATTTTCAAAATAGTCACCTTCTCCTTCTCCACATCTTTGTGCAACTGCGTATAAATTTGTATTAAATAATAATTTACATACGTTAAAGTTTTTTCTTTCAATTTCGAACTCACCTTCTCAACCATCGACGCATAGGGGCTCAACAAGCCCGTGATTAAGATGACATCAATCTTGCAACCTTTCAATGTAAGATCTTTTCGGCTGTGTTGTGATAATTTTTTCATACAAATAAATAACGAATTTGTAATAAATGTTAAAGTTTTCAACATCGAAAACTTGCAAATGCTCTAATTTAAATAGAATAGCTTACCTCATAAAAGCTTTGACATAGAGTCCCACATTTTTGCTATTCAAAGTGCTGTGCAAACGCTTCTGATATTCGGAGACGATCTTTTCCTTATCCGGATTATCGCCAACCAATTGCTACATATGTACAAGTTTTAGCGGATATTTTGCGAATTTCGTTTTTTGAATTTGTGGTAAATGAGTTGAAATGTATACGCGATATACATATGTATATGTGTGTGGAAGTTGATGTGTCCAAGTATACAGGTACGAGAGTTTGAAAATAATGAGTGATAGTAATGAAAATTTATACATTTTTGGCAAGCAATTCAAATATACATATAGTAAGGGACTACATATGTATGCGATAGAATTCTAAGTATTATATAAAAGATAACAGTATTAGTATTATTTACAAATGATAATAAAGTGCAAATTTGAAGTGAAATCAAATAAGTGAAACAGTGTTTTGCAGACATGCTCACATCAAAAAAAAAAAAAAAAAAACCAAAAGAAATATAGAAGTAGTGTTGGAAAAAATGAGAAAATCATTCTGTTCAATATCCATGTATTTTCAGTTTTTATACTCTCGCAATATGTTGCACAGAGGCTGTTTGTATCACTTGAAACTAATCGAGATAGGTATACAGTTATGTACATATGTGACTTGGTCTACGAAAAGGGAGCTAATGTGCGAAAACTAGTTTTCTATCACGTGAAAAAGCATCTCATCTTCCATTCGAATCAAACTAAAAAGTGAAAATTGATTTTTTGACACCTAACCCCTTTCCGTGGACCAGGTCACATATGTATATGTATATATAATATAAATGATCAGGGTGATGAGACGAGTTGAAATACGGGTGACTGTCTGTCCATCCATTAGTTTATGTAAGCGTTAAATTGAGATATCTTCATGACGTATGGTACAAGTGTACCTGGACAAACAAGTTGGTATTGCATTTTGGTAATAGGACCACTGGCCATGGCACACAATGTCATTAAACGGAGAAAACTTATGAAGTGTCAATTCTAAGTTAAGGTATTAACTAAAACACGTATTTCTCCACTTTAGATGATCCTGTAAGGAGTTATCTTGCCAACGCGGCCGCATTATTTTCCGGGAGGTCGCAATGGCCTAGTTTAAAGTATTTTTTTCCAAAAATTTCTTTGTTAATAAGGTATGTTTATAGCAATAACAAATTGTAATATATTTGTAAATACATTTTATATATGAAAAAAACCGGTTGAAAAAATGCTATTTTTTACCCGAGGAAATCCATGTAAAACAATATATACGAAAATACCGTATTTTACTTTACCTTGCGGGAGTATAAAATATTCGGTTACACCCGAGCGTAGACTTTCTTTATTTGTAATATTTAAATTTGTAATTTTTCTTTATTGAAATTTTGGAAATCAGGTAAGATGGACCTATATTTTCTACACTTTTTGTATAGTATGAGTTAGTGTAGTATTATATACATATATTAACCATTTGGTGAAGTTTTGTGGACACAAGGAGAAGAGAAAATTATTATTTAATTTTTTGAAAAGTTTAAGCAGCGTATAGAAAATGAAACAGTATGATTAACTTAATTTAAAAAAAATGTATTAACTAATTATGTTTTTGAAGTCAAAACTAGTTGCTAAAAAACAAGCTTATGCTAAACTAGCAAAAGAGAGATTTACAAATGTAAAACGCCGCTTGAATTTGAAATGATTAAGGCTAAGTTATTGCTAAGTTTATGACAGAATTTTAAGTACAGTAATGAGTAACATTTATATGTGTCACTATGCTATAAAAATCGAACAGCAAAATGTGTTATAAACACGACCAAGAGTTGAAAATGACAAAAGAAAAGAAAATCCAAAATGTGCTTCTGTGGATATGCGCGTTATTGCTGTTAGCTAAATAAGCCAAATATTTGCTAATTACCTGGAACTGAAGTAAAATTAAAGGTCAAATGAGTTTATTATGGTATAATAAGTAATTTCAAGCAGTAAATATTCGGGAGAAATAGTATTAAGGAGCAACAAAAGGAAAAAAACGATGATGGATTTTTAATTTTTCCAATTAATAACATTGCCATAACTCACAAAGCTTTTTGAGTAAAAATTTGGGACTTCCGGATTTTTAGCTTGGCAACAGCAAAGAAAACATACATTACATTTTATTTTAGAGGTTATATTAATGTTGTTATAGCAGAAATAATTTTTAATGTAGTTAGCAAAAACTATGTATATTTTATCTATAGGAGTTGCGGTGTAGAGTTTTAAAATTGAATTTTATCGTTTATGCAGCAAATTTTAAAATTTAAATGTAAATATTTAGGCCACGCTAAAAATGGCTGTTGTTTTATGTTATATAAGAGGAAGTAGTACAAATTCTGTATTTGAACAAGTATGCAAGTAGAAAGAGTATATATGTATGTAGGACTTTAGGAACGTCAAATGTTTCTTTATAAAGCTGCATTTGCATTTCTTATATGTATGTATATCACGTCTTTATCAAAAATAGTATCTAAAATAAATAAACTTTTAAAAGCTCAAAAAGAAAAACTACATACTACATGTAAATAAAAAGTAACATACAATTCAAAAACTTAAAATTAATTGGCGTTTCTAAAGCTTAACTATGTTTTTAAGCAGTAATGTATTGGCAAATCACATGAAAGCTGATTTGTGCCAACAAGAAAATTCTACTAAATGCTATACCTCCATAACCTGTAGCTTGTCAAAGAGTTTGTGAAATTTCAAATATATTATTTAAAATGTCACATGATTTTAGTATCAGTAATTCAATATGGTGTTTACACCAACCGCGTTGAAAAAAAGAAAAAAAGGTTAAAGAAAAAGTTACTTCATAAATACATATAAACTTAATTTTTTACGCAAAACAATTTACATATGTTTGTATGTATAGCAGCCAAACCAATGAATTCATTATATTGTTAGTTTTCCAATTTTAATAAATACCCCATATGTATACAATAACAATTTTTGCAATAATTTTGAATTTTGTGTGTCATACATATATATATGTATATATATATATAAAGTGCACACCAACATACAGAAACCTACACATATACACATTCATAACGACATACTAGCCGTTGCAAACTTACATGTCCAAATTTGTGATACATTAAAAAGCTTTCGGCCGATTGTGCAATATCATCGTTCTTCCATTGTATTAGCTGAAATACAAATGGATTTTAATTTAAGATATTAATTTTTTGCTGATTCTTCACCGTTTTACCTTAGTTTTGAATGATTGTAAAACGCTGGCGGCGCTACCGGTGGCATTAATCAACACCAAACCGAGCACTCGGGATGGATGGGCCAAACCGAAGCGAGCCAAGACATTAGCACCGGCGCCTTCTCCCAAGCCAATCACATATTTGACATGCAGAAAGTCCAAAACGGTGATGAGATCTTCACCCAGTGTTTGCAGTGATGGAAACTGGAAACTGTGAGGGCAGATATAAAGCATACAATTAAACGAAAATATAAAAACTTAAAAATTTAAGGAATTTTTATAGGCTATATTTGTTCGATCTGAACAATTTATTCAGAGATTATAACGCTATATTGAACAAGTAAGGAAGGGCTAAGTGCGGGTGTCACCGAACATTTTATACTCTCGCATGATAAAGTGATAATCGAGATTTCAGGCGTGGTTGTGAACCGATTTCACCCATATTTAGTACATGTCATCAGGGTGTTAAGAAAATATTATATATCGAATTTCATTGAAATCGGTCGAGTACTTCCTGAGATATGGTTTTTGGTTCATAAGTGGGCGACGCCACGTCCATTTTCAATTTTTAAAAAAAGCCTGGATGCAGTTTCCTTCTGACATTCCTTCCGTAAAATTTAGTGTTTCTGACGTTTTTTGTTAGTCGGTTAACGCACGTGGTGGTGGACGTGGTTATTATCCAATTTCTTCCATTTTTGAACTGTATATGGGAATGCCTAAAAGAAACGACTCTATACAGTTTGGTTGACATAGCTATAGTAGTTTTCGAGATATGTACAAAAAAGCCCACTTTTCCAAAAAAATTACTTCCAAATGTACTTCATTTCTCCTATTTTTTAAAGGTGGTATCTTAAGAGGTTAAACGCATTTAAGAAATCAATTTTTTTATTGTCTTATTATATTCTAAAAGAACTCTAGAATATTATCCTAAGCTTTGAAGTTGATGCGAGTAATAGTTTCGAAGATACAGCCTTGAGAACTTGTGAGCTAACTAGGCTAAGTTTGCCGTCTTTAAACGCGTTTTTCTCGAAACTGTGTTTTCGAAGTCGGTCAGCAAAATTTCTCGAAAACTAATCAACCGATCTTCATGAAATTTTACACAGATTTCCGAGATACAATTCTTAAAGACTTGGACGAAGGATAATGTTTAAGCACCTCACAATCCTTCGCGCATCTTTCGCTTAATTTTGTCCATTATTTAAAGTGATCTTAAGTGTAAACTTAAGTAGCCCTGTTATGACATCTTTAATGCCACTAAGTTCCCTTATGCCTAGAAATAAGAGCTTTTTGATCGATCCACCTTCAACACTACTCAACGGTAACTTTGTTGTATTGCCTGTTTTCTTATGTTCCAAGACCTATTTGTTTACATACATTATAGGTATTCTGGGTAGAGAGAAAGCGAAAGCAATATAATACCAGTTATGTTATTTTTACTTGAATTCTGAAAAGATAGAGAATGACCAAAAACCCCAAAAAGTTTATTTACCTGTCCGGTAAGGCCTCAGCATTATCAGCATGTCCAGGTACATCGATGTGTATGAAACAGGAACGCTCCTTAATCTCCGTCATGCATGAACTGCTGACAAATTCTTGGAATGAGTTGTCTGTCAAATGGCATAGACAAAAAATAATGATAAGTAAAAGCTTACAAATTTAATTAAAATGTCGTTGTTTTGTCAAATTTTTTCGTAAAAACCAGGAACGTGATATTTTAAAGAAACTTTTCTCGCATGAAGCAATTTTTAAAATTTTACAGCTTTTTATGGTTCATAAATCATTACGCATGGAAAAGTTTCGCATAATTATTCTACTAAAATATGTATGTTTGTATAATTGTAAAGCTCTTTTTATTTATTTAGGCATGGAATTTATTACATATTTGCCAAGAGTTTTTCTTTTTTGTACTTCTTTTACGCTTTATTATTTATTGTTTTGCGCATTTCACTGCTCCCATAAATGAACGAGCCTTTAATTTATATTATATGATGTAAAAAGCCACAAATGAATTTCAATAACTTACGATTGCATCCCAGATCGTGGACTGTAATAAAGACTGCACGCTTTTCTTGTTGTGTCAAGTCGCCCTAATGGAAAGTCAAGTGGAAATTTAAATAAAATACAATGTAGTATATTTTAATGTACATATTTTATATATGTATTATATACATGGGTGTGTGTTCTATGAAGTATTGTGATGTTTTAAAGATGTTTTTTGTTGTGATATTCTCCTCATACCTGCACTGTAACGGTCAATTCGCCACTTTTGTCCGTATTAACAAGATATTTCTGCAATGAATGGTGTAAAAAGGAAATATTTCTATTAAATTAACTGTATTAGAGTTTTTTTTTTAATATTGGGTTAGGTTGGATTTTCTTTTAATCAATAATGCATTGAAGCAAGGTTTGTAGCATTCGCAAGGTATGAAATGACCAGCATGAGATTCGAAATTTATTTGATTTTGTCTTTGTGTAGTTGATATTAAAGTTCTATAAAATATACGTTGATCAGTTTCTTTAGCAGCTTTTAGCTTTAGCAAAGTTTCAACAGAATTTATCAAAAAGGTCAAATATGCTGTTCTCGGGAAGTTGAGAGAACCAATAAGAGAGTAAACGAGAAGAGAATAAAAGTATAAGGGAAAATTTTCAGCTAACAATATTCTTGAAATTTTCGTAAACTAGCTGCCTTAATAAGTAAATAAAAATATTTAGACCAACTATTTTATAGATTTTCCAGTTTCCACAAAGAACCAATGCTAGTATTTTGAAGGGGCTTCCGGTTTAAAAAATCTAATTTTTTATTGTATTATTAAATTCTAAAACACCTCTAGAACATTGTCCTAAATTCAAGTTGATTCGAGTAAAGTTTTTTAGATACATCCTTGAGAACTTGTGCGCTCGAGGTTAGCTAGGCGTCGCAGGTAAACTCGTCTTTATAGAAAGTGTGTTTTTGAAGTCAGTTGCAAGATTTCTGAAATTTTACCTAGGTCTTTGAGATGCACTTCTTATAAACTTGGATGAAGAATTGTTTTTTTTTCGATTATGATTATTAAAATAAAATGTCGCGAAATTTTGACTAAAATTTAATGTTATTTTTTTTAAATGCAAGTTCTAAGTTAAGGTTTTAACTAAAACACGTATTTTTTCACTTGAGATGATTCTGTAAGGAGTCTCCTGCCAACCTGGGTGCATATTTTTTCCGAGAAATCACCGGCAATGGCGTCGCAATGGCCAAGTTTAATATATTTTCTTCCAAAAATTTAGAATTTCTTTGTTAATAATGTATGTTTGTAACAATTCTAATAAAATATTGCATTTTTTATAAGAGAAAAAATTGTTGAAAAAATGCTGCTCTTTTACCCGAAGTAACCCATGTAACCCCTTAACATTACTTAAATATAGAAAGAAATTAACTTGGATTATACAAAACTAACTGTAACGGAGTAGTGCTTCTTAACCGTTATAATCCATCTATATAAAAATTAACGAAATGGCAAAAGACCTTAAAAAGTAGAAATAAAAAATTGGAGATCTTGTTAAATTGTTTACATTTTCCAATTTCCACATTCATTTATAGTTATGACTCAACATTCTAAACTAGATAATTACATTTTACTTCCAAAGTTATTTTGTTGTAAAAAGAGAAAACATAGAACATCCTTTGGTAATGACATAACCAACTCGCATTTTATAGTTCCACAATTATTTAAAAAGCTTTTCCCGTTAATACCGACASAACAACAACAAGCTATAGCTAGTAATGGTACAGCCGATTCCGAAAATAATAATATATTTCCTGTAAATTTGTTTTGCACTGCTTTGTCGTTATTGTAGGTGCTAATGACTTCTTTTGTTGTTTCAAGCTTTGTTATTGTCTATAACTGTATGGGCATTCATTAGCTTATTATGAGTATTAACTCCTATACAACAATTTGCATTTTATGCTAATATCAGAGACCTTTAATGCTCTCTGTGTATAAACGCAAATAAGAAGTGTATAAGAGAATAAGATAATGGTAATGTGGTTGAGTGAGGAGAATGAAAGGATGCATAAGCGAAATCACTGAAATAAAGCATTTTCGCAAGGATTTTTCTATTTGAACGCAGTGGGAAACCGCATTTCAGCAGCATTACATAAAAAGCGAGCGCAAAGCGTTTTATGTAAGAAATCCAACTACACATATTGTAACTTAAAGGACACAAAATATTTTCTTTACTTTTTGAATTACGTTTTTTTTTTGCCAATTTTTTACGTTTGTACTTTCGATTGACTATTTCGAGGTTATTCTATTTGTGGAAAAGTTTTTGGTAGCAATTTCTATCCTGTTTTTTTGTTTGTTGCAAAAAGTCGTGCTCGCATTCGAACTCGCCTCGTCTTGTTTGAAATAACTTTTATTGAAGCCTTATACGTGACAGTGTGTTGAAGCCAAGCTAATGCAACAAAACTGAAGAAGTATGTGCTATTGCCAACCGGGACGCTGTGTACTGCGTGTTGCCCAACTTTTCTGTGCGATATTCAACGAGTTGTGTGAACACGAAGCAAAATAAGTTTGCACGCAATTTTTAGTTAGCCTTTAAGAAATCAAGTAACATGTACATAGCTGAAGGAATTATAATTGCGCTTGCCTTGTGGTTAGAGATGGGAGAAGGACGTTTCGAGTAAGAAATTGTTTGACCAAATTCATACAAAATATTTTTCTGTGTATATACGTATGGAATATAATTCATTGTTGCAACGGCATTCAAATATCAATTCTTAGAAGTCTCGTTTAATATTATATGATTATAACTACTGAAAAGAAATTTGTGTTGGGCAAATTCTTTTAAAACTTATATTGCAAAATAATTTCCAGGTGAATGCATCAAAACTTCCCAACCGAGCTCTCTCAGTTTTTACCGAGTCGTCAAAGATGTGTGTGGTCTAGCGTTGTCCTGATGGAAGCCTAAGCCCTTTCTATTGGCTTCACTGGAGATATGCGATTGCAGCAACATCTATTGACAAAATACGAAAGGACTTTAGCGACTACCGAATATTATAAACTTATAGCATCAAATATTGCTCATACGCAATGGATATCTGCTGCTTAAAACAGCAATGCATGTATGTAGACGCATGGTTTATCTTTATTATAGTTCTTATCCTTCAATAAATAAAGTAAGTTATCGATATCTATAACAATATATACATATATATATGAATAATAAGCCAATTGGCTCTTTGGAGCAGATATTTGGGTTTCCCGAACAAGAAAAAGGCTCAGCAAGGCGAATATGATTATTGAGCAGCAATTTAGCGGCACTGACAAAATTTTCCAAAATGTAAGAAATCAATTCCAAAGGGTGTTGAAAGTCTCTTTTATCTTTATGATCCCCTTTTTGATATTCTAATCGTTAACAGCTGTGGATGAACGCATCACATGACCAAAAATTTACACTTCTGGTCACCCTACTATTAGCTTTTCAATCATTCACCTCAAGTTGTAATCAATTCGGAAATCTCAGTTATTTTACTTTAAGCATTCTTCAGCTGACAGCTTTTATACGAATGTTCAGCATTAATTGTCTATAATACAAGGCAACATGGTAAATGCTTTCAACTGTCAAAAGATACGCAAGAAAAGTTTAATGCTCCAACAGCAGTAATAAAGCTTATATAAGTATGTTTATACTAAAAATATGAACACAAGTATGTGCAAAACGTATGCGTTTTTTTTCTGAATAAAATTGCAGCTCTTGAATCTGCAATCGGTCGAAACACACTCTTTACAGAACGTGAATTTTCGTAACAAAGTTGAACGATTTGCAAACGTTCTTAAGGAGTAGGTTTTTCTGTGGTGAAATGCCAAACAATACTGAACAAAAATAACATGACAGCTTGACACGACTCACACGAGATCTGTCAAAAAAAGGCTTTCGAAACAAGTACCTCTACTTGAATCTGCCGTCATAGAATATAAATTAAATGAAAAAAGGCACTTATAAAATTTAAAAAATATACAAATACTGAAGATAAGACTGTAGTCATAGTAACGCGATGAGCGAGCAAAAAGTAAAACACTCAAAAGCAGCACTTGTTACTTAACATAAATACGCATAACACAAGTAAGAATAAAGGTGCGTCAGCAGAGAGTGACACGTTTTCCTTTACCTTTATCAATACTTACAGCCTTTATCAATACTTGCCTAGCCTTAGAGCTGATAGGTTAACATTGTAGAATAAAAGTATACAGCTAAAATAGCATTCCATAAAAGTGTTGTATTTTTGTACAAACATGTGTTTGCATTTAAAAGTACTCCAGAGGTGTACGTGCCAACTAAGGTAAATATATAGCTTGAGACGACATTTGAAAGACACATCGAATATTATATACTCGTATCTGCACACCAGTAAATATATATATTTATTTATGTTTGTTGCAAATATTTTATTACATTATTTCGCTGTGCTTTATTTGGCAAAGTTAAATAAATCAATATTGTAGAATTCGAAATTTTCCAACAGAACACAGAAAGCAAAAGACTTGAGCAAAGATGTGGGTTTTGCAAGTGGCAAGCAATTTCGTAATTCATTGGAGGATACATGCCATTTAATATTATATAAGTATGTACATATTGTATATAAGTAGCTTTTACTGTAAGTCTACCATACTGTATAGTGTTTTCTTGGTAACATCAAAGGTATTTCAATCGAATCAAATGTATGGTTTAAATTTGTTAACTGATTCCCTTGAATTTTCACTGATTTCCGTTATACAGGTTTGTGAGCATTATTTTTTGTAATTTATATTTAAATATCTTTGGCTTTCGCTGCCAAATCCTATCTATACACAGTTTGAACTAAATCGACATTATGGCTACAGTAATCAAAAAGGGCAAAAAAGTGACAACGTAGCTTAAGGCAGTAGTCTGGTAACTTGGGTTCAAAAAATCGAAAACTTTTTTTTTGATTAATTTGAAAGTACAATGTCTTGCGAATATACTGTGAAAATTTTAGACAGAAAATCGAAATATTTCGGAGTTATAACGAGTTTCCTAGAGCGCCTCGGAGTCCTCTCTCTTGGAGTTGTTGAACTTTAAACGCCCGAGTCCTAACTTTTTTCAACTAAACCGACTGCTTTTTAACAGGCTGTTCTCGTCGGAACTAACGAGCATTTTTTCCACCCCTAAGTTTTCATTTTACAACCCTTTCTTTGCTAAAATAAAAATACTTTTTTTCAAAGTCCACCATTTTGTTATTTACCCCTGAAATTTAACTTCAATAATTCCGACCAGAATGACATGTCTATAGA